ACGGGTAACCTGTGGGCTTCAGTTTCACCTCTCCCACATGTTTCATCACTCCTTTTCCGACACACAAAACAGGTAACCTGTGGGCTTCATTTTCATCTCTCCCACACGTTTCATCACTCCCTTTCTGATACAGGAAGAGATATTCACCTTTCTACTATCGCCCGTCATTTTGCCTTTTTCTTATTTGCTCCTTTGTGTTGAATATGAACAAACTACTTGTGTCCTCTTCTTCTTGCATGATCCCTCCCTTTCCCCCTCCAAGCCCCCTTCATGCGCCTTATCTCTGTGTGGCCATCCCGCCAGGCACTGGCCAGTAGTTGAACCTGTGACCCCCCATACAGAGAGTGGTGTGTATATGTGTGTAGAGTGAGAGCAGACACCCCAGAGTGTGGTTGGGTGTGGAGGGGCAGCTGCCTGGCCCCTTTGCTGAGCCTACTATGGGGACCATAGCCAGTATTCACATTCAAATTCTACCAGGCAGAAGGAGGAAGGAAGTGATGGAGGGATGGAAGGACATAGGAGCAGGGGTGAGGGGTGGGCCTTGATGCAGTGAGGCCAGAGAGCTTGCAGAGGTGAAAAGTTTAACAAGCCAAGCTGTTCCTCCTGATCGTGGGCTGCCTAATCAGCTTCATGGGTGGCTGGCTAAATCGGCTCTCAGCCCAACAACCCCCTTCCCTGCCACCCTCACAATCCTTTCTCTCTTTTTTCCTTTCCAAGGTACAAGTCATTTATTTTATTGCCACTTTCACCCCAGCTTCTGTTTCCCTCTCTCATGCTCTCACTTTAACTCTCTATTTCTCTGCCTCCTCCTTTTTCTTTCATTTATTCTTACCCTGCTTGTTGCGTAAACCGGGGAGAAAGTGAACAAGGTGGAAAAAGAGAGAGGCGGGGGCTTGGAGACGAGGGAGGGATGGATGAACCGGATGTCTGGGGTCTTTCTCGGCAGGATTAGGAAACAAAGAATGAGGATTGGGTGGATGGAGAGACGAGTAGAGGAAGGGATAGAAGGACAGGCTTGAATAAACAGAGAAGTGGGTCGTGATGTAGGAAATGGGAAGATAGAGGGGAGCAGTGTGGAGAGGGGTGAAGGAAGATACAGCATGTCAGGGAAAGGAGGGAGGGAGGAAGGGGCGAGCCAGGTTGAGGAGGGAGAGAGGAGAGAGAGGAAAAGAGTAAAGGCAGGGAACAGAAAGAAGGAAGCAGGGAGGAGAGTGTGAGTGCATGGACACAGTGGGGATACTGTTTATGCAAGTGAGAGAGATGAGGGATCTACACATGTGCACACACTTTCTTGCGTGCACGCATGTGTTTTCTGAGAAATTAAAATTCATGACTCTCTCTTCACAACCATTTGTGTAATGAGATTAAGATGGCGGGTTAGAAAATAGCACTGGCATTATCAGGCTGCTTGCAGTCCCTCCAGCTGCTTCCCTCTCTATTCCACAACAGTGGGGATAAGAGGATAACGCGCTAGCCCTGTCTGCCGTCCCAGCACATGCCTTACACTCACACACACAGTTCTTAGACACACTACTGCTGCACATCGGGCCTGCCTGCTGTCAGGAGTCCCTCGAGTAAGTTTGTGTCAGAGGGTGAAAGTGTGTGTATGTTTGGAAAACTGCAGAGTAGCGAGCTGGAGATCCAGAGATGGTTTGCAAAGAATTTCTGAAAACACTCCATGCTCTCTCTTTTTCACACAAACGCATGCAAAGAAAAACACGAAGACTGGCGGTATATTCCTAACAAAATCAATTCGGACGTGTGTTGAATCTGGCACAGTGAGGAATGCCAGCGTACTCACAGGTACTGGGTTTGTTTGGCAGCGTCTGTGCCAGTTGGAGGAGCTTGTGAGTCACTACGGGAGCATGAAAAGAGGGAAACTGGCTCAAAATAACACATGTGGAAACTCAACCAAATACACAGTATTATCGCATGGCTGTGTGAAAATTTCAACAAGCTTGGATTTTGGTTAACATACTGCTAATTTGACACTAGCTCCCTTGTCCATGCTAATAATTCCAACCAAATTATATTGGAAAACTAAACAATTCTTTAGTGAAGGTTCTGTCTGATGCATAATAGTAGAGCAGATAAAAAAATTTTAACGTGGTTTTGCATAGGAAACATTTCCTTATTAATATTTATTTCCTGCCATACTGGCCTGTTGAAACCAGTATGTCACAAATATTCAGCTACATTATGCAGAAACTGGAATACAGACTCGCTATTAGATCTGAAGTGTTTTAAACAAATGTGAAATAAAAAATATCTGCAGGCTAAGTTTATTTTTTCATTACTTTCTGATAAACATCACAAATTGTTGAAAAATGTAATAGATTTATGGCAAATTTTAAAATCGATACAAAATTTAAAGTGTATTCAAACACCTTTAAAAAAGACACAATAGAGAGCCAATAAAGTCTGCGTCTGCTTAGACAGACATTTTAACTTAATTCTTAGCATTTAAAAAATACATATAGGCTTTTTCAGTTTCATTTTTTTCCTCAAAACTGATTCACATCCTTTTGGTGGAGATGTCTTTGATTTTTTTAAGCCACAGTGAAAGAAAATCCATAGTGAGTGTTCCACTGTTGGTCCTGATATGCATTATTCTTGTGTTCTGGTCCACCCACTGAAAGTAAATATAGCTGAAGAAAGCTAATCTGAAGTGCAAATGAGTAGCAGCTGCTCATTTGGATACGAGTGTGCGCGTGCACGTGCAGTGATAGTGTATGTTTTGCTGTGATATCATCATGTGGTGTGTGAGTTTGTGTGTAATGTCTAGCCAATATGCTGTCTGAGTGATGTCTGGTCTGTGTGGGATTGTGATATAGCTTGTTTCTTAGCTGTGTGCACAATGTGTGTGTATGTATCTAGAATGGTCAGTCAGGCACATACAAGCACACACACACAAAGCCCACACAGGGGTTGTTCATAGTGTTCATCAGAAGATAAGCAGAGGAGACGTAATCACCTTCAGATGTGAGGGGGCACTTCAACTTGTCCTCATATCCACACACAGCACCCGACCCCAGTGTGTGTGTGTGTGTGTGTGTGTGAGACGGTGTGTGTGGAAGTGTGCATTTCAAAAGGGAGCCTAATTTTCTGATAGTCCCCTCGCATGCCAAATTTAATGGTGACTCTTATTAATTTATTTTCTTTTATCAGTTTAGTCTGAATTTCTCTGTTGAAGACATTCTGCTGTCAAGCAACTCTCATCACTAAAACAGGTCTGAGTGCCAATTGTCTTCTGCAGTTGAGGTGCTAAACCATTCAAATTATTCAGTGACTGTTTTCTGTTGCTTTGAGGCCCAAGCAGTTCTCTCAGCAGTCTTTTTAAACAAAACTGTATTTCTGTTAATCAAAGGCAACGGGAGCATCCGCTTTAATCCCACAGATGCCCATTCTGTCTTTCAGTCCCTCTTCCATTCTTTCTCCCTTTCCCTCCTTTCTTCCATCTCTAAAATTTTTGCATCCTCTTTCAATAATGGGTTCAGCTCTTCCCGTATTGATTCCATGAGCTTTCCCTGTTATAATGTTAATCATGAGTTACGAGGAGGGCATACATTATATATTAGCAGTGAAGAGTTTTTCCTTGTTGTTCTGAATTTCCTTATTTCTTACAAAACCTTTTGTTTGCTAATGAAAATCAGTTGATAGTTACAACATTTTTATAGAGCTAGGTTTTGCACAAACTGGTGACAGACACTGCCAAGATTTGATCGGCCACTGATCAGAAAGGCTCACTGCTGCTTTTTTGACTTTGATTCCGGTCCAGAAACCCTCTCACTGCACTGGTGGTGTGGAGGCCAAATGTGGATTGTGAAAATTTGATTTGGGCCTGTGTCGACTAAGCCCCCCACCCTAAATGTAGTTTGAAAGGATCCAGACTCACTTAGATACAGAATGTATGAGTGACTGTGATCAATTTCGTGAGGGACAAATAGTAAAGAGAGAGAGAGAGGGGAGAGAAGAGTGAGATTTTCCTTGCTGAGGTTCAGGCCACCTTAACAGGCACTTTAATGGCCAGTCTGTCCAATTGTCCTCCCAGTGTTGTTGAACGTGTGTGCACCAATTTAGCCCACTCCTTGCTGTCCTGTTCTTCTGTAGCTGTGTGTGTAATGGAGTTAACAGCTGGACACCACTTCTTTTAACACCATCAACTCATGTGCTTTCTGTCACTCCTTTACTCTTTTTCATTCTGCTTTTCTCTCCTTCCCTTATCTCTCTCACATGGTGCCAAGTTAAGGCAGCTTGTTTGTGCTCCAATTTGTCTCAAAAAGTGTTTCTGTGTATCAAATGACAGGCTAATCTGCAAGTCCATATTAAAGCTGGGAGCAACATTACATGACCTGCATTGTTGCTGGTTTCTTTAATAAGTAGCAATGGATTCTGCACAGTGAACTATGTTTCCCTCAAGTTCAAGGCTTCAGCTGTTTCAACTAGCATTAGAGTAAGGATTGCGAGTTTTGACATAGGACTCGATATTGACATTGATCTCTGAATTCAATTTGAATTCAGTTGCCTTTATTTTTATTTAAACGGGTTTGATTAAATTCATAATGATTCATTAACTTGAGATAAATACCAATGTTGCATATTTTTCTACAGAAACTGAAAGTCTGCTTACTAACTCAGTGTGGCTATCATCTACCCAGCTGTCAACAACATTGCCTTTGAACTAAAGCTGCTTTACACAAAGTAGACATTTTACACATTGGGCAGTTTGAACTGAGCAAGTAACCACTTCATATATGTAACCTTAGGAATAGCTTCATGGCCAGTATGGACAGGAGCAACAATCACAACTCCAGCATTAGGCTGGGACTGAAAAAAAAAAGAAAATTGAATCTATGTTTTAATTTCTACTGAACATTTTGTTGTTACTGTTGCTTTGGTCAACAAATGAAACAACTGCAGGGTGTCATATGCTCCACAGATTGTAGAGCCTCTTGCGATCTGTGATATATGGCCTCTCTATTCTGGGACATGCTTCTTACCTTTAAATGAACATCCCAGACCTGAGCATCATACTGCCGGTGTTCAGACACGCAGAGTCCGGCCTGCTGGGCCAGTTGACAAAACAGTCTCAGAGTTTCACCTCGCAGCGGAGCGAACACCAGCGCCATCCCCTAGATAGAAAACAAGGGGAAGGTGAGGACCTTTGGAGGTAGACTGTGAATATAATGCACCATAAGGGTACTTCACAGATGCAGTACATTCTCAACTCATTTCTCATAACATCTGTCGCTAAGCTCTACACACACACAGACTTAATTGTTCATATTTCTCTCTTTTCTTTGACTTATACCAGTTGCATATTAGATGATAAACCAAAAGCTCTGCTAATCCAATCAGTGCTAGAAATGTGAACACATGTGTAAGTGTGAATCTCTCTACTCATGTATCTGACGTGTTTGAGCGTGTGTCTGTGTATATGAGAAAGAAAGGAAGAAAGTGTTTGTGTGTACATGTGCATCACAGACATTCTGCAGACACTAAGAGGATTACCGGCAGGTTCAAAGTTTCTTTGAAATCCTTCAGCTTTTAGTTTTATTTCATGCTGATCATGTTTTTGTTTTAATTAAATGGAGCAAAGAGAACACTCACACAAACACACGTACCGACACAAGCTAAATGAACACAGAGGCAGTGAAAACAGCAGGATCACTCTCTTTGACAGATGATTTTTCATCTGTAAATCCAGTTGCATTTTTCTCCAAATCTCATTCTTTCTCTAAAAACGCATAATAAGCAAACAAACAGACTAAACTCCCATGGCACTAATGAGCTGATTAAGGGGATTCAGCCCACCGGATGGACCACCTCTGTCAGAAACAACAAATTGGCGCCATTAGATGTGAGAATTAATTGCTTTGTAAATTGTTTAATCAGCTCAGCAAATTATTAAATATTAGGCAAAGCTTGTTGTGGCAGCGACAGTCTGATGGCCGACACTCAAATCATATTAACCCCTGAATTATCTCTGCTGGATTAAAGAGAGGGAGAGACTTAACACACAGATGTACAACAATGGCCAGATGTCATGTTTGTCATTCAACCACAGCAGCTTCTGGATTCAACTGCAACAGAGATGCGTGTTCACTTTGTGAGTGCTGCTGTGAATGTCACAGTCAGAAATGTGGTACCGAGCTGAATGTAATATTAAAAACATTACCTCTGCTATTTTAAATAAAGATTTTAAAGGGTTAGTTCACCCAAACTGTAAAAGGACCTCTAGCGGTATCTACCTAGAGGATTTATGGGGTTTTATGTGCCCAGGTTTTCAGGTATCTGTGACACATTCTGCCTCCACCCCAGTAAGATGGAAAGGAACAGGATATCACTGAAAGTGCTGATTGCATTTAAAATGACATTATCCCAGCAGCGCCATTTCTTTCCAGAGCCCCATTTGGACTGGGTTGCCTACAGAACATGATCGGTTTTCACACGGATTATCCAGAGAGAGTTTATGAAAAGAAAGGTTTCTGCTTAATTGTGTTATTTAAGTTTTTATGCGATTTGGGTGGACTGACTCCTAAAGACTTAGTGATAAGATGAAATCCTCCATACGACGTGTAATTTTCTGGTTCACCATCTATAAAAGACTTCAAACAAGAGTCATGTTGGGATTCTAGATGAAGAGAGTGTCAATCAAATTCCCACACCTTTGTCATTCCCACTCCTGTCCTTTCCTCCTTCCCTTCTATGCCATTTTCACCTCTTTTTCATAAAGAGATATTCTCTATAGCAGTCTGGCCTCTGTACTTAAAACACACCCTCTTCCCTCAGATGAAAAGAAATCTCAACCCTATCTCTTCAAGGCTTTTGCTTTTTCCGCTCATTTGCTTTGGCTGTCACAGCATGGGGTCTTATCGTGAGGCCAAAAGGGAGAAGTTGCCTCGGATTTATGATTAAGGGAAGGCAGGAGAAAGAGAGAGACCGAGATCAGAGTGATGGATTCGAGTTGGTCATAATAACCATTGAAGCATTACATGATATTAATCCTGTCAGACTATTAATGTCTATGGGGTTCTGCGCAGGGCCTAATTTTGATTGAGAAGAGGGGGTGGTGATTTAGAGGAAGAGACAAGAAGAGATACAGTATATACCATAGTCACACACACGGACACACTTACTTTGGGTTGCAGTAATCTCCTTATAGCATCAACCAGGCTGGCTCTGTACTGGTCGAGGAACAAACTGGGAGGGAGAAGGAGAGTCAGGTTAGAATGTATTGTTATGATAGCGGCTCCAGATAAAGCAGCAGGTTATTTATTTTCTTTTGTTTACGAATAAGGGGCGAAACTATTTGCATTCATCAGATGTTCTTCTTTTTTGTTTATGTCAGTTTCCATGTGCATTCACCTCAGCCCAATGTTGAGGCACTGAGAGGAATGCAGAACATCAGAAAATCCAGCGTGGACAGATACCACAGCCTCCAGTGAACACACACACACACACACACACACACTTCTACGGAGACACTTCAAAGCACCTTGAATTAGTGGAATTAATACCTGGAATGTGCACTATGTGGTAATATGTAGATATAAGAACAAAAACAACACAAAAAGAAAAACAATCACATAAAAAAAATTAATTAACTGGTTCCATTATACTGCAATATGTATGATTAACATATTTAACTAATTCAGGTATCATATGGCTAATGTATGATGATATATAAGTCACCACTCTGTAATTTGTAGAACTAATTAATATAAAATCATTAGGTTTTCTGTAATGCACGATGTGAAGAGAACGGCCGGGTTGTATGAACCAGAGAACGAAGCAAAGAGAATGAACGAAACAAAGACACAGAAGAGACTTCTTTCTATTAGAGGAACAGTAATTAACTTAACAAAAAATTGCTCCTTTTTTGAAGTGAATTTTAGAAGCAAAACAACAACAAAGCTTGCAGACACCCCGCACTCTTCTGTCCATTTCACTCTTATGGTAACTATGTTATCAGCTGAGGACAAGGGTGTAGACTTGGTCTCAGCATTGGTAGCTCCCCCTCCTACCCCTTAAGGATGAACCAAAGGTGTTCATTTTAAGATCATTTTTGAGAGGTTAAGTTGACATAAATGTAGGTTTATTACAGGTATAAATACAATATGAAAAGTGACAGTTTGCATGATCAAATACTGCATGTGTTAAGTAATGTCATGACAACTGGACACATACATATGCACACAACATAATTCACTTTTTGAAAACGAGTTGATTTTTACATAAGAGTGAGAGTTTTGCATGAGATGGAGAAATGAGCAACACACACAGACACACACACACACACACACACACACACACAGAGCCCCGACTTCAATCACATTCTAAACAAAGTAACACCTGTTTCTATATCCACAATGACAAATTTCAATCCATTATGCAAGTAAGTAGTGCAGTGTGTGTGTGTGTGTGTACACCTATTATCATAGATGAGAGTGGAGTAATTTGACTAAAATGGAACAATACAGTGCAGATTTGACATAATCCTGCACACCCATTTAGTGGGCCAGTGGAGTGACAATCACAGCCTCTGACCTTTAATTCAAAATCCTCTGATCCCAGGGAGAGGTGCACGTCATACCAGCTCCTCTCTGTATTTCTGGACATACCTGCACAAATATGTTTTTGCAGTCTAATCAATATTAATTAAAAAAAAAACAAAAAAACTTAACAGTGTCATTTGTGTAGTCGGGATATAGGAGTAGGAAATGTAAAAAAAAAAAAAACCTTACAACTACAAACTCTTACCAAACTCAGGATGTATGTATGTTTATTGTTCTTCTAAGGTTAGACAGAGCTGCCAAGTTTATTTGACTGGAAAGGTGAGAGGTGTGTGTGTTTGGTTTATTTTGCCACAGATATCAATTCATGGGAAAAGTAAGTGGTAATGAAAACAAGGAAGTGAGCTAGTTGGGTGGAGGTAACAGCTGAAACAGACACACACACTGAGGGCAGGGGAAGGACAGAGTGTCATTTGGAGGGCAACAGTTAAATGAGGTGCTAATAAAATTTTGTCTACCACCTATAGACTATACAAAAATACTTATTTCCATTCAACTGCTATCATTTCGCCGCCTGGCATCAGCATTATGGAAACGAGTGCTTTGTGGTTTGAGTTTCTCTTGCTGGCGAATAAAATGTAAACAATATAAAATGATGTCGGACTTTGCCTGCTAAAAGGATGTCTCACAGTCTGTTACACTGTTTGCCTGGGATGTTTTATGATGTCAGGCTAACATTTATGGACTCTCAAATTGAGTGGCCCCTCTGCTCAGATCACCTCTGGTGCCCCCAGACTGCCAGAGGCCTATTGTCTCACACTGACTCCTCCCACCCAGGACATCCCCACCAACTCCAGTCAAAACTGACTGGAGGTCAAAGGGCACAAAACTGGTGTGTGTGTGTGAGCATGGCTGCTATTTTTGCCTGTTACACGTATGTGAACATACAGGATGTTGTCAGGTCTGGAGGGCGAGACCGTGGAAACATATGACATCATGTGGCCTTAGTTTCCCAAGAGGAAATTTAAGGGTTAAGATGCAAGGACGTATTTTTATATACACTATGAAATTAATTTGTGTATGACCTAACTATTTATTTCAGGTTTTGTGACACAAAGTGTAGTGATATTACTTTTATTATTCATATGTTATTTCTTACTACCTTTGATCTCATTTTCTTTTTTATTTTACATTTATTGTGGTTCACCTTTTTAAAAAAAAATCTTCCTTGCATTAGTCTCAAACCTCTGTGTTGTTATCAGGTTGTCAGTCATGTGTAAACTGTGCTAACTTGGACTAAAGATGTTTTATAAATAAGGTTTGATTGATTCATTGACTGTGGTATTATATATTGTATATTGTAGCTGGGGAGAACAAAAATATATATAAATATATAATGTAGTCCAGTAAAACACCACCTTTAACTGTGACCTCAATAAATAAACATAAGATTGAATGTATACTTTTATGACAATTTCACCAAACACTGAAACAGGTTGAGCTTCAAAAACACAAATTTTAAGATGGAAGTGTTGCACTGAACTGCATACAGTACAACTGTACAGGTGTCCCTAATAAAGTGGCTGGTGAGTGTAGCATGAAAGTAGAAAACACACACAAGTTCCCTCTCTCTCTCTCTCTCTCTCTCTCACACACACACACACACACACACACACACACACACACACACAGATTTATCTCAGTGCCCACACATGGATGGCTTTTGGGGAAAAGAAACAAGCCAACATCCCAGCCAAGGATTCTCTGCCACCTGCCTGCCCACTGCAGGAATCTCTCTCTCTGTCTGTCACACACACAAACACTCTGCTATTCCTGCACTACTGTGTCTTTCTCTCTGTGCAGTCACTTAGATATTGACTGTTACTGTTTATACTTTTGAAAAACCAAGATCTTAGAGAAGGATTTTGGAGCCAGCACACAGATTATGTTATTTGTGATACATATGTCTTTCTGCTCAGCTTGACGGCTAAACAGGGTTAAATGCTGGAGTAAAGTTTTCAAACTGTATATACCCCGCTCTCAGCTTTTGCCTTCAAACAGAAGCTTTACTGTCCCACAGAGAGTGAACAGCTACATGTTTGCCTGATGTAATACATGTTTGTAGTATTTCTTCTCCTCCGTTTCTTTATGGCAACAAAAAATAACATGTTTACTGACAGAGGACAGAACATAGAAGACAAGACAACAGACGCACCCTGAACCACCAGCACCAGAACAAGATGAGGCCACCGCTGCGGAGCTCCAGAGCAGATCAACAGAGAGAGGGCGGCCAGGACAGCAGGGCAGTAGCATCATTGTTTCATGGTTAAGTTAAATATTTCCTCTGATTTATGATTTATTATCATTTATCATCCATTTTGATTGCTGAAACTGGAATTATGCAGCTCAGGGTCAGCTCAGACCCAATACATGGTATAGTATTTCTTCTGCACTCTGATTAAATGTTGTGTTTTTGTTACAGTATGCGTGTTAAACAGGATATGACTTGGGACACAGGACAAGTGCCAGAAATAATTCTGACAACAAAATGAAGTCCAATCAAATCTCCCCAATTAAGGAGATTAACAACCGGTGGGCACAAGCTGGCATGTCCGTTCTCAGTGTGACCTGGAGATTTCAAGTTCCTACATCACAATTTTGTGACATAACTGCAGCAATCAACAGCTATTGTGACTGATTGGCAGTACTGTGTACTTAACTATGATTCAGATGTTGAATTATATTTTCCCAGTTGTGACATCACACAGAGAGGCTGTTCAAGTGGTGCAATTTCATCATGTTAAAAAGTTGGTGAAGCAGTGAGCGGTTCTAGATTCATACTTTAACAGCACTTACTGTAAATAACATCTCTAGCTGCAAAATCCACTCCAAGACTCAACAGTTCTTTTTTGCATAATACTCCCTCTTCAAGCATAGGTGGGATATCCAAAGTTAGCACATAATGGACTACTGATACATAATGTTACACTAAACTTGTCCTTGCTGTGCTCCCCTCCTTTCTTCTGCCCTTCTCTCTTCTCAGCGGTGGTTCCATTGCTACCAGTGGGAGCTATACTTAATCAAAGTGGAAGCCATGTTGTTGACCTTTTCACAGGTGATCATCACAATGATGTGCCTGTTAATCGGTCAGCCATCACTCTTCAGCCATCACCACTGCAATTATCACACAATCACTCACTCACATACACACAGAAAAGATGGCACCACAGAATAAACATCTGGGAGCCCCCCACACACACACACACACACAGACCCATGAGTCTAGCATGTATCTCTGCTGAGACAACGGGGAAATCTGAAGAACCTGTGATATCAAAAATTCACATGCAATTTACTCTGTTCTCACACTATCTGCTGCTATCTATTATGCACATGCATGCATATACACTAGTCCACTGTAAATATCCTCTATTAGCTGTCTGCTCTTTTTCTCTCTCCGGCTGCTGTACCTGACTATTACCTGTAATGACCGTGACATTACAATAATGATAACGGTGTTTGCTAATGCTGCACTTAGCACACATGCACACATTCGTGCAGATAGATACACACACACTGTACACACACTGGTTTTGTTCAGTGTATGTGATTCTGGAAAATAATCAAGTACTTTGGCTTTGAGCAACAACAATTCTATGTGTGTGCGTGCAGATGCGGTGGAAGATAAAAGGACATGAATGCCATTTGTTCAAGATCTCAAATAACTTAAGAGAAGTACTATGGCTGGCCCACTGTTCCATGACTAGTTCTAACAAAGAGGGACCACCTTGCCTATCTTCCAGTCCTTAGGCACTGTACTGAACCTCGCTGGGTAGGTGAACCATTACAATCCAACATTGGCTTCCACCAGAAGACTGAGTAAGACTTCCTGAGTCTCCTGATCTCAGAAGAGTTTGTCAGCATGTTCCTTTTATCAGCTAACCTTTTATCATCTAACCAGTCTATCACCAGTCAAGATCAGCAGGACTCCTCTCCTCCCAAAAACCTCTGGGCAAGTCCCTGTTTCTCCCCTTAAGAGTCTGCTGGAGGTTTGCCTGAACCTTGTTGAGGCCAAATAAAATTCCTGCCCATGTTCTGCATGAAATCCTTCCACAACCATATAAGCTGCACACATTCTGACACCCATCTCCTGACACCTGAGTCCCAAGTTTTTCTTTAAACGTTGATAACTTGTATCTTCCAAACATCTTCTAATCCCCTTGAATGTCAAATTTCATCTAAATAACAGCAACAGCACTCTGTATACTACAGTACAGTTCAGCAGCTACCAAAATGATGATACAGTTGAATCAATTCCTCTCTGAAACAGCTTCAACAAAAATGGAACAGTTTCACCGTCATGAAAGAAGGATTTACTGCCAGACATTAGTTTTAGCTAGGTGTACCTGATAAACTGCCAAAAGCTTTTATATTATATTATATATTGTATCACATTTCAGAGGAGCACTGTCTTTCACAACATTTCATCTCACACAATACAACTGAATGATGCAAAGATGTAATTCTTAATTGGCCACAAGATCCAAATTTCAATGGCCGATAGACTAATTGTTGTGTTTATGTTGCTCTATCTGCCCATTTCCAGCTCCATTTCTACTCCCTTCATCTGCCCTCAACTCTTTCTTCATCTTACTATGTCTCCTTCCTTGTCAAGGCGCAATTATTTGCAATTTGCCTAAGTCATCCATTTGCTGGGACACCAAGCATGAAAACGAGGCAATTTGGTGTAAAATGGACACAGACGGGCATCTGAGCATATGTGTATGTGTGTGTGTGAATGTATGTTTGTGTGTGGACAAGGCAGAGGAAGCTCCAGGCGCCGGTGGGGGGGCCATGCAAAAGTGAAAATTAATGCCATGAAGGCACACACAGAAATACTGTAAATCTATGTGTGTGTGTGTGTGTGTGTACCTACCAGTCTGCACACATGACAATGTCAAAGTGACCCTCTAGTGCTGAAATGTCCGACTCGCAGTCCCACCTCACCGCCCTGTAACACACACATAAAACAGAGGCCAACGTTTAGTACCGACATAGCTGGTCATACAAGGAAGCCAGCGTGCGCTGCAAGCAACACCAGCTTGTCCGTCTTTTGTCCTTCACCACTTCTTTTCCATCTTTCCAACCCTTTGAGCTTCTTGCTCCCTGACACCTCTCTCTCTGACCCCCACTGTTTTTCTGCTTCACTGAAGACTTGGAGAAAGCATCAGGGAGGGAAGACATGTCATCTGTGATGTAAAGAGTGGGAGCTTCTGACATGACACTTGACATTTATACCATGTGAATACACACACCCAGACACACACACAGAAAGGCCACCTACAGTACGTACATGGTGCCATTCAACATCCACGCTGTGCTCGCTCTCCCTCTTTCTTGCTTTATTGGCATGGCCATTTCCAAAGCAGGTTGAAGAAAATAAAAAACGAATCATTTGCACATTTCTACACAACATACACTAAAATGTAAAATATATACATGGATGACAAATTCACAGAAAATCTGAACAAATGAGTGTAAATAAAAATGCAGGGGTCACTGACCAATCTGAAGATTATTTTTCATTAGTTTTCATTCACAGAAAGTCAAAAATTGGTTTAAAAAACATTTTGGCTTTCCCGAGTCAGTGGTGGTGTCTTCAAATGTCGTTTTGTCCAACCAAAACATCCAAAGATACTCAGTTTATTATCCACAACATGTATTACATACAACAAATAAAAGCATCAATTCCTCACATTAAAGAAGGCAGAACCAGAAAATGTTGGTGATTTTTGCTTTCTATCAGTGAACTCACTAATAGTTGCAGATCTAGCTTACTGAATAGCGTAATGGGTATAAAAACATGTGTTGGACATGATGAGGAAATACAGTATGTTTTGGAATGATGATATTTCCTCCCTCCAGCAGAAGAGCACTGAAGCTGTTGTAGAGATGTTCACTAAAATGTCAATGTTGTTCACGTTATGCACATTTTTCCTTTAATTTGTCGCCCATCTGTATGTATGACAGGATGAGTGACCATAGTGAGAACCAGGTAGTCGGAGAAGTGAGATAAAATAAAAAAGAGGAGGCAGACTTTGAAGAACCTGCGTTCTTCTGCTGGTTTTCCCTCAAGCTCTGACATATTTTGACACTTCTACGGCAGCGTCCATGTCATCCAAAAGGAGTGAGATTTTAGCTCAGCAATCTGGTGGAGAGTGAGACATGTTCTTGCTATTTGAGCATGACATGTTGCTCTGTCTCTATCTTGAGAGCAGAAGTGACACACACTGTTGTCTTCAGGTTGCCAGGTTTGTTGGTGTCCACCACAAACAAACCTCTCTATATTCACTCTATATTTCATGAATGTCTTTCTCAGACAATCTGCCACTTGATCTTGACTGTTCAATGCTAAATACAACACTGAAGTTTCTAGTTTTTGTATCAGATACCACTGTTTGATGAGTCTTTCTTTTCCTTTGGCTGTAACTTGGCTGTTCCAGATGGTGTAAGAGCTCTGCTAACACTGCGTACTGTTCCTCCATCATTTTTTCCACTCCATTTTCCCTCTTTCTATCTCTCAGGCCGTCAGGCAGATTAGGGGATTATTAATTAGGCATTATTAACACTCAGTAAACAAAACATTAGGCCCCGCTAGAAACACAATCTCGATTCACAGCAGGGGGTCCCAACACGCGCTCACACATACGAATGGATGTGCACACACCATCACGCAACATGCCCCTCCCTCTCCCTCCCCTTGTCCAATCGCTTTGTGCCCTTCGCCCTCTCTTGTGGTGCAGCGATGACAGCAGGCATAATCTGAAAAGAAAACAATCAAAGTAATGTAGCCTAATTATACGTTTACTTTTTTCACTCCATCTTCCACTTGTGTTAATATGCACAGTCAGGATGAATGTAGAGAGGGAGAGAGAGAAAAAGAAGAGTAGGGAAGCAAAACAGCCAGTCAATGGCAAAATAGCTTTTTAGAGGCAGGGACAACAATTAACAATTAATGTTTTCGCCCGTTCTAGCATATGGGGTGTGGATATGTGTGTTGCGGAAAGTTCTCTCAATAGTTTCTGGATGAAGACTCCCTATCAAAGGGAATCATTTGCTTGGATGACACAAGAACCCACAAACACATTTGAAGAATGTAATCATGCTAAAAATCAGACTTAATTTGAAATTAGCGATTCATGGGATTCACACAAAAGGTTCACACAATACAGTGGTATAAAGAGTTGACAAAGGCACAAACTGAACAAACCAATTTCCTGTTTGCCAGGTGTAAATGTCTGTGAGTAATCAAATATTGTTCAGGACCTGCTATTGAATAGGTTTAGGTATCCAAGACATTTTTGTATTTGTCCAAAGGTCACCTCAAGTTGGTGAAAGTTGAAAAATAGGTGTACAGAACAGTACGTGTCTATAAATCACCACAGTCTTCCTCAGTATTTTACTCTTGAGCTGCACAATTGGGGAAACATTTCTCTTATGTATCGCTTCATATGCACTTTATTCTCATGTAGCTTTTATATTTGTTGGTGTCTTCAGTGAGACTGGTTGCATCTCCCAGGAGGTTATGTGTTACTTGATTAAAACAGAATAGTTAGTTGTGCTGCATCAGTGTTGAGCATGACCAGAACTAGACAGGCATTCTTTGGGTAACATTCTCATTGGGGCAACCTAAACTAAAAATATATGCACTGAAGGCATATATTTTTAGTTTTTTTTTTTGTGCAGTGAGACATCATGCATCTTTCCATAAAGAGCTGTGAAGATGTTCTCACCTGGCAGACACATGTGTTGTCCCAAACCTTCCAGCTTGCCTGTTTCTCTTGATGAGTCCTCGTACATCTGACATGCCACAGTCAAGGGTTCATCATAGACACACGAACTACATTCTCAACTACACGAACACACACATTGCTATATTCCATCCATCCATCCATCCATTATCTATACTGCTTACTCTTGAATAAGGTCACAGGGAGGCTGAAGACAATCCCAGCTGACATTCGACGAGAGGCGGGATACACCCTGGCCAGGTTGCCAGTCTATCACAAACAATGTTATAATATATAACATAAATACATAAAATATTTTTTTGTTTGCATACGGTCATTGCGGCAAAGGACATTTGTACTAGATAAAGCAAAATGCAGAGAAGTCATCATTAAAAATGCATGTGCTGAATCCTTGCAGTTAGTCCTCTAGTGGATGTAAATTAAAGCCACCATGTGCAGAATTTAGCACCAGTGGAGGTATCAAAACAGACAGCATGACAAAGAATGGGGTCTGCGAAAACTGGTTGACAAAGAGGTTACACCAGTTTTCTACAAATAAAACCTTTTGCCATCAGAAGTAATTCAATACATTTTGAAAAGGTAAATTTATTGCCAAATATCAAAAACTCTTTGGGTGAACCATGGCATATTGGAAACGTATGACTCGTAGAACGGAGGAAAGAACCCTGGTCATCTGCCACCCACACTTAACTTTACTAACCAGAGGATTCAAACTGCTGACTGCCCCACTGAAAGAACAATGGTCTGGTTTTCGGTGTGTCAAAGCTACATCAAGACAGAGGGTCTTACGTATAGTCTGTGTAAAACACATATGCTAGACAACTTTGAAGAGAAAGCATGAGTGAGCAGAGATGATCTCCAGGGATAGAGAGCCCGCCTGCAGAAGCAGATCACAGCAACCTGTAGCTGGATCAATGGGAAGGCTTTTAACCACAGAGATACAAATTTACACTGTCGCTCTCACACACGCACACACTGAAACACACATGCAGATGAATGCACACAAAGGCATGGCGATTGATGTCAAGTTGTCTATTAATACACTGGCTTGTAGAGTTGCAAAGCAATTCAATTAGGATTTCCTTGTCTTTAAAGCCTGAAAAGAGCTGAGACAAATCCAATCAACAAAGACAGAGCAAGAGAGAGTGAGATAGAGAGAGCAGGAACACACGCTAAGTTGATAGATGGGACTGATAGCTAGAGAGACAATCCAAAATCAAAGAGGCCTCCCAGACACAAAAGCACAGTAATATGTAGGTTAGCACACATTTAAATGCAAGTGCAAGAACAGGTACACACACACACACACACACACGCTGGACACAGGTGCATCATTGTTGTTATGCATAGAGTTGACAGGGTGAAGAGCAGAGCAGCTTACTGTAATCCCATGATCAGCAACACTGGGGGAGAAGTTGGCACATGCACAAACATGAGTTGAAAACACACACATCAAAATAGGGGAAGAGTGAGCAAGAGATTTGAGCGTTGAACATTAAAATGGAGGAATATTTGCTCCCGTCACTCGAAGTAGACAAGTAGCAGCCAACGACATGCATCAATCATTCTTAATGGAACATTTCAATTGATTTTCAACATGAGTATTCAAGGTCACGGCAACGGAGCCACTGCTCTGTGGTGTGTGTTTGTGTGTGTTTCTGCACTATAAATGAGATCAACAACTTATAGGAAAAGGGGAAATCTATTCTGTATTTAACTAAATGCTATCTAGTCACAATTTATTTTTCTAAATTATCTATTTCACTGTAAAAAAAACAAAAAATAGACCTATCACAACCTACTCTCTCGTTCTATTGTGACAGTTGCTGCACAATAAAGTCTAATGAGACGGTGGTCATTAGCACAAGGCAAGATCAACAGCCTCCTCAGTGAGAGGAAATGTCACGCTGAGCCAAGAACAAATTATCTGTCCTTCTCAACTCTCCCTCTCACTGTCTGTGTGTGTGCGATCCATTCTCTCTACGTGTTTGTACTGCGAAACAAAGCGGTCGGTCAGTGGTGTATTGTTGGTGTGGCCAAGTGTGTGTGTGTGTGTGTGTTTTACAGCCTCCATAATGTTATTGTTTGGTCCTATTGTGATCGGTAAAGGAGCACAGTAGCCAGCTGAAACAGAGATATTATAAGCAAGGCTAAATTTGGAAGTCCCATATCAGTCAAAAGGAAAGGAATGCGTTTTTATATTCCCTGCTTCTGTGAACCAACCATGTCAGTGTCTTTTTTCTTGTCTGTATAAAAGTTAAAAAAAGAAAGGATGGGAGAAAAAGGGCAGAAATAAGTGAAGATGGAAAGAAGAGAGAGGGAAACAAGGGGCTACAAAAGAGATCAGACAGGGAGAAGTGTAAAATAAGAGAAGGATGGTCTACAAGCCGACAGAGTTGATCAATAGCCCACTCAAAGAACAAATGTCGGCAAAAAGAAAAAAAAAACTCACCTAAAGATTTGTCCGAAAAACTTAATTATAGGCCTAATACCTAACCACACACACACACACACACACACACACACACACACACACACACACACAAACACTTTAAACAAACCTTGATTGTTCATCAAGCCCTAGCCCTTGCCTTAGCATTAGATGAAGTCTCAAACAAAATCTGACAGGATGGCAATTACTGAGCTCTTAACTTGGCGTTGTAGGCAGCTAGGATTGGTAGATGCCATGCTGAGCACTAGTGCTGGGAATTTGTCACTGTGGGTGCCCCATCTGCTGCTTTTGCCAGAAAATAAAGGAGGTGGAGGGCCATTCATCCTTCACTCCAGCACAATAGTTTTAGGGATGAAACACAAAAGTTACAGCACATGTCTGCTTTCAGTTTATGACACAGTCTCAACAAGTCATGGTAAGGTTGCAGTTGGGCCACTGGAAAAATAGATTGCATAAGAAATTAGTCTTGCCCGCATAACGTGGAAGAGATTAACACTGAAATGTTAACTGAAAATTGTATCATCTTACAATAATTTTATTATTTTTATCTTGAAGTATAATAAATTATTTAACCCTGTGTATATTTAAAAACCAAACGGTTGGATAGATGACTGTGTGGGTCCTGGTTCTCCGGTTTTCTAATTAAAACTACAGTATATACAGTATTAATCCACTCTGCTCCGTCCAGCTCTCCCTCTCCCTTCTCTACTATGCTTTATTACAATCTGCACAAAACCTACTGATAAAGCTGAAATAACTGAAAACCTCTGATTGGTTAGAGAGGTCAGTCCCGCCCAAAACCTTTAAGAAGCTAACATCTCTGCACTGCTGCCTGTGCTGTTCAATGAGTCCGGGTCACAAGAGGCTTCAACAACACCTCTCCACATTACGTTTTGAGGCAGATTTCTACAACCAAAATATATGGGAAAAATACATACTCTCGCTTTAAAGTGAATTAACAAGGTTTTAAAAGAACCCATGAGCACTACAACTTTCTCAGTTTTGACGCGAGTGGCATCGCAAGCAAAACGGACTCACATGGTAAGGAATGGCACAAGGATTATTTGTGGAAATTGTTTCAGTGGCTGATCAGAGAGTGCATGAACTCAAACTCTATGAATGGTGTCCTAAAAGAAAAAGATGGAGGTGGAAGTGAGTTGATATGGGGCTGATGACAGGGGAGATGACACAGGCACTACGAGCATAAGTTTGTATACTCAAATACTGAATGAGAGACGCTTGACAGAAGGTATATGTAAACACATATGTTTTGAAACCCACATAGAAAAGACAGACACATTGGGGGCGGCTGTGGCTCAGGAGGTAGAGCGGGTCGTTTCCTAACCGGAGGTTTAGCGGTTCGATTCCCGGCTTGTCCAGTCAACATGTCGAAGTGTCCTTGAGCAAGACACTGTACCCCCAGTTGCTCCCAGTTATGTCACCGGTGTGTGAATGTGTGTGTGTGTTTGGGAGTGTGAATGGCCAAATAGTGTGAAAGCGCTATACAAGTATAAGACCATTTACCATCACAGAAACAAATCCTGATAAATGCATATAAATAAATGCTGAGCGAGAGGGGATGATGAAAGGATACTCTGAATGGACTTCTCGTTCCCATCTGATAGCAGAACTTCCTTCACGTCAGCACAAATGGCAACCTGAGAAACAGGAAAGAGACAGAGGAATGAAACAACACAGAACAAAAGAACAAAACCAAAAGCACCCTTGAATGGTGCAAACATCTGAACAAACACACACACACACACACACAATAATGACATAACCATATCTACAAAGCTTCACTCTTGGCAGCCCAGCCCACCCCATCCTCTCTCTCCAATGCTCCCTCTCCTCTGTGCCGTTTCCCTCTCTATCTTCACCCCATTTTTATGTCTGCATTATTTTAATCATTCAATCAAATCAGTCAATACTTTTATCATTGTGGCTAGCGGTGGGGGCTGCTATCTTGCTATCACTCTGTTCAGTAATTGCATTGTGACAGGGGATGATGGCAAGCGCAGAGCCTTTTCATTTGAAGCTGGGTGTTTATCGGGCCGAGACATCACTCCGTTTGCTGCTGTCACTCTGCACTCAGCTTGCTGGGCCTGCCTGATGCCCTTCATATAACTTTGCGGTACAGACTATGAGAGATGAAGAGAAAGGGGGGAGAGGGAGGGAGACAGGAGAATGGATAGAAAGCTTTGTGTCTCTGTGCGAGGGTGATATAGATAGAGAGGTGTGTGTTTTACTATAACCTCATCTTTTCACATTCTCTTTTCTTTACAGCTGCTTTTTTTATATCAGCAAGTGTGTGTCAGGCTGTCAGTTTCTGTTAAGGAGTGTGTGTGTGTGTGTGTGTGTGTGCGTATACACATGGTGAATATAAGTGCAAGCATCTATTGTGTTGGCATGCGCACAAATCCTGTACGGCCGATTCGATGTAATCTTGACTCATCTGGCATATAGAAAATACATGATGTAGTATACCCGGTCTACGGAAATTTCTGAAACAAACAGAACACACATGCACAGACACACACACAGGCACACAAATGTTGAGGCACTGCGGGGTGAGTCAGGGGGTCACTGAGTGCTGTGCGTTCTGCCAGCTGCTCAAAAGGAGGAAGGACCTCCAGGCTGAACCGGAGCATCCAGCTGAACGATCAGAAGCCCAACCTTGCAACCCATTAGCTACACCCCATGACCCACCACTATACACACGTGAAGTCAGGTTATTTAAAATGCTCACAAAGATTGAAATCTAAACAAAGGTTATCAAAGTGTCAGATGGTGCACTGCTGTCAAGTTAGTAATTTGATACAATATCAAACCCAAATCATACATTTGAGATGTTTTAGCAGTAAAAAGCAGTAACAGTGTGTCACTGTCCAAAACTACTTTTGGGCATCTGAGAATTTCTCTACATTCTAGTAAAGAACAAAGAACAAATAATTGATAAAAGCAAGAAAGGCTACCTTCCCCACTGGTGAAGAAAGAGCTAACAGGTCAGCTATTAAACACACAACATGCTGGTATCAGTAACTTGTGCAGCCTATCACTGTGCATCTGTCAGGTGGAGTATTATGCAACACAAGAAGCAGCACATTTACAGTGGTTGGTTATGTGCACACTGGGTATGCTTCCCTGACGCATCCCCGATAGCTCATTGGTTAGAACAAACATCATATTCACAGACAAAAATATTTATACAGTAGGTGCTTTGTTACAGACGATCATATTTTGAACTGGTAAAATGGTATGAAACAAAGAGTTGGGTCATCAAATTTAAAGATGGGAATAATTTGAAACAATTTCTAACAGTCTGATAGAGAGACAGGTAAAATGGGAAAAAAAGAAATCTAAGCATTTGCCTTCATGAGCTTAATAATAAGTGCATATAGTTTCTAAGTGTAGCTGTAGGATGGAGCCATAGAGAAGTGAAGGGGTCATCAAGCTTAAGCCAAGTTATTAACAGAAATGCACAAATGATTGAAGATCACTGCATTTTTTTTTCAGCTTCACTTATTACAATGCCATGAAGCTTGACATGAATACAGGTAGGCAAGTCAGCCTTATTTACTGTATATAACACTTCATACACAAAGTGCTTCACATAAGCAAAGAGAAACAGCAGTAAAACCAATACGCATTAAAAATGAGATTAAAATAAAGATTCAACATACAGACAAAATAAAAAGTCAGAAACTCAGCTGTAGAGAAATTACAGTGCAGTAAAACGTTGTAGCCTGCCCTGAAAGCAACACAGAAAACAAACACGCAGCAGAAAGTCGAAGGTATTCAGTAATTACATAGTTAATCATTATCATTTCAGATAAACCTGCAGATTCAGGTTTATTGTCATTTCCATGCAGGTGCATAGAGGGGAAAAAAGAAGTCAAATGAAACAAATGTTTCTCATAGGCCTGCAGTGCAACATGGAACAGACATTATGATGAATGCAAAGTAATAAATGGATGCAAAAATAAAATATTCATAGATAAAAGGCATAAACAATAAATATCTGAGCCATATAAAGTCCAGCTTTTCCAACATGATTGATTAGTGAGTGTAGTCTTTAGCCTAGCCCAGATTTCCACGTCATCTCACACTTTTTTTGTGCGTGCTTTTCCTGAATGTTCCTAGAGTCTGAGCTGCAGTGATGGGGTTTGTAAAGTTCAGCAAATCTACACTCTACAACTAATATTTAGGCACAGGAGTTTTGTTACGTTAAATTTAAACTAAATGATTGTGCAAGAGGAAAAGTTAAGCATGTGTGAGGACATTTCACTCCAAACCAAAACTGTCAACCTCAAGGGAGGGATGAAATGCAACTGCTAAAGGATTAATGAACTGTTCACATGGACAACAGAGAAAGAAATCTGAATGTGGTGTCAGTGACAGATGAAGAGGAGAGGAGGAGAAGGAGAGGTGTGAAGGAAGGATTCTATCTCAAGCCACCAATGTCAAAACATGGTGTATTGACTGCCAAGGGATAAAACTAGGCTTTTACACACACACACACACACACACACACACACTCACACAACACAGAATGGCATCTATCAGATCGATGGGACACCGACGCCTGCTATGTGAAGGGGCCCTTAAGACCCTGGCTAATAAACCCTATGGCTGACAGACTGTGGTATATCTGAGAGTGTCAGTGTGTGAGCAACATGTCAATGCAATACAACTTTTAAGACCCTAGCTCATCATATAGCGAGGTGTCAATACTCAGGTGGTCTCTTGATTGTGTGTGTGTGTGTGTGTGTGTGTGTGCTGATAAAAATAATGAAAGCATATAAACTCAAAAATAATCCCTTCAAGTCCTAAAAATTTGCCTCACATCACATCTGAACATTTACAATCATTTTTAAATTCAAAACTATAAGATAGTTTGGAAAAAGGCTTCAATCACATTATATCAAATAAGTGTTTTAGCTAATTCTTTTGATAGTCTGGTTTGTAAGCACTGAGTCTACCAAAATGTCGCCTAAAGTTCCTAGCTGACTGTTTTCTTTTAAGACATTTAACAGCACTAATCAGAGCAGTTCTTCCATGTATAATAAAACTCGGCTAACCATGTTACTATGGAGAAAGCTGCCTTTACAAGATGAGCTTTGTTGACTCTGTACTGCTTAATTTCCCACAAGAGAGGTACACATATTCTTGCCATATTAACAAATAAAGCACTTGTGTGACAAATATAATGTAAAAAGAAAATGCAATTTAAAGCTATTTGAATATACGTGAACTTTATTAGTGTAATAAATTAAATGTGTGGATGTGGCACAAGGAGACACAGTAAGCAGGCACAGACACCGTCTCCCACCAAGGAGTGTCCACCGAGGACATGAACCTTCTCAGGGCAATGGAATCCAGATCCAGAGTAATGATGGTAAAGGTTTGTGTCTGTTTATTCTTAACTAGCGCTACTGTCATCAGAATGCACTGTATATGAAACTTTAATATACTTTTATTTCAAAACACATTGATTTGACTGAGTCACACTGGTAGAAACATGTACTTAACACAACTAATGGTGTTTAGATTTGACTAATTTAGGAGTCCTCTACATTAGCCCTAACTTTGACTTTAATTGTAGTAATAATATACTTTGTAATTGACTCTTACAATAAGAACCTGAGAGACACACATCTGGGATTCATGGGAGAAACTCAGCCAGTAAGGAGTTAGCCTTACATATGAGTAAGATGTTCTGTGGCCATGACCTGAGATCCTTAACACTGAAGAGTAGACATGTGAAATACTGTAAATGTAATGTGGGCTTGCTTACACTGTTAAAAGTACACAAATAGGTGCACACGCAGGTGCACAAGAAGTGAGTGAGAATGTATATGAATTGGTTTGGATACTTTGCACCTATTGATTGGTGATGGTCATTTTCATTAGGAAAGCTGAGCCACTTCACACTGCAAACCTGTCTGTGTGTGTGTGTGTGTGTGTGTGTGTGTGTGCCACTTACCATGAGCCCAGCAACACAAGTCATGCCTCCTCCAAGCTCACACACTGAACCCCTGAGAGACAGAGGAAGAGAGAGATAAGTAGGAGTGAGATTCACCTTGCTGAGCCAAACCTAACAGTTTAGCACTAACACACGCAAACATGCACACAGTACAGTAAAGGCACACAGATGTACACACACGCACACTAACACAGCAGGGTAAGAAATATCAATTCAACCATCAACCTGAAAGCTGAAGACTGAACACTGAGACGCACAAGCTCAGTCAGCAGG